GCTTTCAGCCTTTAAGGGATGTTTGCCTCATCATCACAACACATAGTGGAAAAGTTAGTTTCGCTGAAAGAAGTCGAAAAAACTATGGGACCTATTGGGTTTAGCACTGAAATTTTCTTGGCCTTGCCCGAGAATTGATTTTAATCTAAAAGTGAAAAAGAAGAGGAAACATTTTGGATGTGTATCATCGAGGAGCACAATGAGATGATGGCTATTACGGCTAACGCTTAAAATGTTAGCTATTTTACGGCTAACAGTTGCTTTCTTTCCGTTACGGACAATAGAAACAATTTTAGCGTTAAGGGTTTCTTCGACTAACGACAAAATTTGTCAGTTTTTACGCCAACGGTTGACCACAACCCTCCAATAACATTAATAACATGGACTTTGGAAGATATCCTCTGTGGCGTAAAACAGTGGCTATAATGATTTAGTGCGTATTAACACTTGAGCTAACTTGAAGCAACCAAACATTGGCACGGATCGAAATGAGATACAACAGTGCAGCTTATTACGGCAAGGTGAGGAGGTAAGAATGATCTCTTTGTTTTGAGTGACATGTCTAACATGTTAAGTCTCCTCTTTGAACGCTTTATGTGAATCGAAAGACGAAATTTCTATGTCCTTATTTTTCGGCTTGTGCGCGTCAATTATTTCTTCATACCACAGAACAATTTCGTTTGGGTCTATTGATAAGAATTCCTAATTTCCGCTGATAACCATTCCCGACCAACAATCATCAATAATCTTTTAAAAGAATTGCAACACTGATAGTTTTTCCACACACTTTATTGATCCCAGATAAAACCCCACGATTCGGATAAGCTGATACATTTCAGTTTCTTTCTACTCTTTCTAATCTTCGTTGCAACTTCTTGCTGATAACCAGGCCTGAGAGGGAAAAAAATGCAACGTGAACAAATAAACTTGTAATGTAGATCTAATGTGACACAAGCAAGTGTTTGTCACTGAAACTTTTCTTGACATCAGAATTTTCTTTTTCAGGGCCCCAATGAGAACCACTTTGGTGGTTAGGTTTCTTTTTTCATCATGATTATGCGATCAGGCTTTCCTTTGTAGGGAGGAAGCGCACAAGAGTCGGCGGCCAAGAAAACGAAGAAATCAGTCACATGTTGTTTGACGCTGTTCTCTGATTACCATTGAATGAATTTAGATTAATCTGCACAGATACCTCAAGAGTAATAAATATTCTCACTTCATATCTTATCTCATTGTTCCTTATAACTAAGCAGTTTGTTTCGTTGTTGTAATGAGCACAGTGTAAAGCAAAAATTAATGCGTCAACGTTTAAAAATACTTATACTGACAGCATTTAAACGACACCTTTGATAGGGTTAGTGAAGCGCACTTCAATCTTACATGATTTTTTTTTCTTTTTTTACGTAGTGGCTATATGATCGGCTGTCTGGGAACCGCAGCGTTTTCCTTTCTTAACGGACGAATTAGGTAAACAGCTTTTGCCAAACTACTGCAAACGAATTCTGGAACCTATATTTTAATCGGTATTGTCTCGTGGAAATCTTAAGTAATTGTAACTTTGGACTCACCGTGAACTAACGATCCCGTGCTGTAAAGTTTATGGCTCTAATTCTTCTTCAAAATGTAGACATAATTGGCCAATTTTACTCCGACTCCGTAATCTCCTTCTTCTTTGCACCCTTTGGGTGATACACCATGCACCTTGTAATCAGCATTGCCTTTGGTTGTCGCACAGCTGAATTTCCCACGAACCCCAAAGATCTCCAGTTTTTTCCCCTTAGCTGCTTTCATACAAGCCTCCACAGCACCTTTGATATTCTTCTTGTACTTTCTGAATTTTCCAAGAACTTTACCCATGGCCTTGTTTTTCTTTTTGACTTCTTTAAAGCATCCTTGCTTTTCCCACTCTATAACACATACAATCAACTCCATCGATACAATTAAGTAAGGAAGGGTTTTTTCTTAAGGCCATAATGCACAATTTCCTATAAAAGATGTTTACTTCTCAGTCTTTGAATTGTAATAAAGATAATAATGAGCGACGACACTCGCCAGAAATTTCTTGCCTCGTACATTTTCGAAAGGGGATAGGTAAGTGTATGTACAGAGTAAGGTTTGAATCTCATGACAAAGTCGGGCTTTAAGCTGTTTGGTAGGCAAAAGCAAGCTTTCAGTCTCGCTCTGAAAATCAGTAGAACTAATCAATGACGTAGAACAAAGATAACAAAAATATGAAAAGAGTAGGTTCAAAAAAAGGGAAAAAACCCTTGTACCCCCAAAGCGAACCAAAATGTATTTCAAAGAGGAATGCTGGAGCGGTAAAGAGGTGGGTCAAATTTTACCCCTTTTTTTTCTTTTTTTTCCCATTAGCGTTCTTACCACACTGTTCTCCAATGAATCCTTCCTTGCAGTCACACGTGTAGCTGTTGATTCCGTCGATACACTTTCCTCCATTGTAACACACAGCATTTAAACAATCGTCCTCATCTGCATTTCATAAAAAAACGTAGGAAAGGTGATATAAAAGCCGAGATCGTTTTCGCAATTTTTTTCTCGTGGGGTGAATCTCATGTAGCCTAATCCGTCCAAGAGACTGCGCGCGCCATTGAAAGTGTTTATGTAAAATAGTATATATATAATATATATAGTAATCCACTGTATACTGGCTCTAAGAAAGAGGGATGATTAAGCTTCATAAGGAGCGGTAGAGCTACCATGTATCTGCGTAGTTATTACGTAACGTTCTTAGAATGTCAAATTAATGTGCGAACATAGATCTGCCACACTGAATTGTCCACACATTAATCTACGCTGACAGTAAATCCATATATTTTACAGAAGGAAAGTCATTGCAAGATTCAAAAGAAGAGAAAAGGTAGCATTGGCTAGTACCGGAAACGAGTAGGTCCTCATTAACATATAATATACCTTTCAATAAAAAATATAACGTAATAAGGCCCGGCTCTGGTATCAGTAATAGGATTTTTTAAGAGTTCAGTTCCCATTATCATCGGAGTGCCCAATTGGTTTCGCGAAACTTAAGTAGGTTCAAATATCACTGAACTGCCGTGGAAATAGCCTGCAGTGCAGGTGTCTTATTAGAGGAAGCTAACGTTATAAGCTCACGATCTTTTATCCGACCGGCCATGTTTCATTTGGAGTTAGGGCGGACAGTGGGGGTTGGGGGCGGGGGAAGGGCGAGAAGACGCCAGCCCGAGGAGGCTGTTGAAAAGCAAAACACCCTCTATTTATTTGCGCATCACTGCATTTACGGAAATGAGCAGGTAACCAATCAAAATGATTTAAATTAAAACCGAAAGCAGTGTCTTCCTACAAAAAAAAACATAGAGAGTCGATGAGTGAAATGGTAACGTCGTTTTTTCTCCCCCAGGAACAAAATTGCTTCGACGAAACCTCCTTGCGGTCACAAAAATGAGCTGATGTTTCCTGCACTCTAACTGTTCCAAACGACAATCCTTGAGTATGGCTTCCGTTAATCTATTTGACTGTTTTCTTCCAATTGATCGTAAACGATACTTTGAAGCACAAACAACAGCATTCGAGGTTTTACGCGCCATAATTTGTTTGATGCAAACCGGCATACTCTGGTGAAACGGCTTTTCCCAAAGTCATTTGGCAACACGGCCAGTAGATCCTTTCCAGAACCAGTGTAGCAATTGTTTCTTTTTCTTCCGATTTTGATGCACGAGAAATATTAAATTCCGAAAGACACTTGCTTCCTTCAAGGCGGAATCGAAACTATCAACTTCATCATTTACAGAGTTTGCCATCCTTCGCATTTTTCCGCAACAGCAAAATGTCCAAATGACACATTTGGCTCTTAATTGACAGCTGGAACTTAACCGCGGCCATCAGGAACTCTGTTCGTGGGCGAACGGAGTTTTGCAAAATAACAATGACCTCAGCAGGCGTAATCTTCACTCCCCCCACCCCTCTCCCTATCATTGACCGTCGACCGCCCCCTTGAAATAGATAGATGGGAAATAGATAGATGAATGGTGCCAATTTTCCTCACTTGCAGCCAAGGGCTGAATTGCAGAGGAACCAGAGAGGTGAGATCGGACGTCAGCATATTAAAGGCGCCTCTGGCAGCCGCTTCAGTCCATTGTGATCACACCTCACCCACCCAGACCTACGACGGCACAAATCGAGATAGACCACAACACCGGGCACTACGTGCCCTACTCTTTGCGAACAGTGCGTGCGTTCTTTTACGTCCCACAATTTATTTTTTGTAACATAGAAGGGTTGTGAGACGGGACCTCCGGCTTTACGTCTTATCCGAGAGACGAAGCAAAGTGGGTAAAGCATCTTGCTTAAGGATACAGCGACATGCCCCTGGTAGGACTTGAACCCGGGCCCTTCGACCCAGAGTCCAGCGCACTAACCACTGGACCACTGACGCCCCTTGGTGGATATTTCTTTCTCCTCCCAGCCTTCCGCTTCCATTAAAACCAAAAATGGTGGCTATAATTTTCGTTGAGAAATTAACTAGCACTTGCTCGCCAACAACGGCTATGAACAACAGCTAATGCCCAGTAATTTTCTCACCTTTTTCACAACTTTTTCCTGTAAACCCAGGTTTGCATTTGCATTCGTAGCCGCCTTGTGTGTTTGTGCACTGTCCGCCATTTTTGCATGGATGTAAAGTTATACATTCGTTGATATCTAGCCAGAATGGAAAACATCAAAGTTAAAATTTCTAAGCGCAAAGGTTGTCCCTGAGAGACAGGTTTAAGTAACTTTTGAGTTCGAAATTTCATCCCTCACTATTCTGATATGAAAAAAGTCAAGCCTTTTATTCTGAGTTGGTTCAGGGATGAGGGGGAGAGAGAGGGGACAAATCAGGCGCGAATATAACGAACAACTTTATAGTTATGGTGTGTCTTTCTTATTTGTTTAAAGAAGCATCTGTTAAGTCTGACTTTTCAGGCATTAACATAAATCATTGGAACGATTAATCAATCGATTTTTGAATTTCAATTATGGGCTGCCCTGTGTCTCTGTGTATCTTTATAGTGAAGTGAAGATCCAGTTAGTTTCTCGCAATTTTCTTGAAGCAAAAACATGCCAACTTTTCCTTCTCGGCGAGCAGTTTGGGGAATTCTAGTCACTTTAACCACGCAGCGAGAAATATAGGCTTCAAACGGAGCAACCAGTTAGTTTAAATGCATTCTAAATAGAAAATTTGATAATAAGAATAAGAACGAAGTTTTCCAACAAAAAAGAAAAGGAAAAGGTGGGGTCTGGGAAGATCCTGTGATCCTGAATCGGAGACGAACTCTACTAACCTGCTGTAGAGTTATTTTGTCAATCTTAAGCTTTCATTTTTCAAAATCAACCTGTCGAAACTTTTGCTAAAAGGTATCGCAGTATTGGAGGCATTTTATCCTCACACTTTCGCTGATGACACATTTTTTGTTAAGCTTTAACTCACCATTTTCGCAATTTTTCCCCTGGAATCCTTCAACACAAGAACAGGTGTAGCTGTCACCAGAGCTGCTACATTCACCCCCATTCTGACAAGGCTTTTTGTCTGCGCAAACATCAGCTACAAACACACAGACTTCTATCAGTAAAATGGCCTCCCTCATTACACCCGATAAAAGACCCTCTATTCGTTAGACCGTAAACTACGAAGCAATGTGCAAAAGATTTACATGAATTCTAAAAAAATAGCGGTACCGCGATAACTGGTTTATGAAGACGTTATCAATTGGCATAAATTAAAGTCTTAGAATAATTACCGCCATGACCAACGCCTATCACGGCCTTTATTTGCTCAGCGTTCAGGGCCACGTCATAAAGTTGTACGGCAGTGACTCGTCCCTGAAAGTACCGTCTATCCATGTTGATAGCACCAATTCGAACTTCATCTTGAGTGGCAAGTTCAATCTCTTTTCCAATATTCATCTTTACCACCGATTGTCCATTTAACCACAAATTTGCCTCACCGGAAATGAAGTCATACGAGCTACCCACGTAATGCCACTGGTTAAAAGCCAAAGCCATAGGCTTGTAAAGCAGATGCCTTGTGGATTGGTAGTTCCTGCGTGAGAATCTTACAAACAACGTTCCTTGCCCTATCCACATGTGAACACCCCAACGATGGGTACCGCCGTACTGGAAGAGAGGACCATCTCTATTCTGAGGATACACCCAACATAAAATCGTAATGGAGTGCTTTACGTCTAATCCTCCATTATTCGGAAACTCAATGTAACTGCCGATGTTTCCTGCGAATTGGTAGGAGCCGCCTTCCTTTCCATCGATTCCAGGTGCCAGAGACACATGGCTGAGGATACCTGGGGAGAGTCGATCTCTAATTTCTCTTGATAGATACTTGCTGTTTAGAGGATAGACGGCCACAGGATCTGGTGCAATGGAAGCTGCAAAGTAAAACAGAGTGACATGTAAACGACTTTTGTTCATTGAAGGATAAAACAGTTTCCAGATAGTATCTTTAAGTGTGTATAATCCTATAAAGCCAACCAAAACACAAATGCAAATAAAGTTTCGCCCTCACTACTACATGGTAGGTTCCATGGCGTAGAAACCTCAAAACACTTCTCTTGCGAACGCAAAATGTTTGAATATAGATATATCTCGACATTGAATGTGTGCGAGCTGGAACAAGAAAATGCGAACAATCAGTGTAGGATATTTTGCGTTTGATGGCTGAAGTTTGAAAATGGAAGTATAAACTTTGAGACTTCGTAAGTCCTTCTCCAGCGACGCCAACTCCACGACTTTATCCCGATTACAGCAAACTTCTCGACTTTCACTACCCATCAAGTACGAAAACACTTACGAGCGGCCGCAAACCTTATGATTATCAGCCTCGAGCTCCAATAAAACAGATGTTTCAAGAGGGTAAGCCCAGAGCAGGGGATAAAAAGGCAATCAAACAGTTGCCTGAAAAAGACATTGTTTCAGAAAAGCTTGCATTTCTGCAGATTATCTTGAGCATCTATCTGACATTGAAATGAGGATAAGCGGCGAACAAATAATGACAGTAAACGTGCAAAAAGAAAGCAACAGGAATACAATGATATTGACTGGTAAGATCTCCATCACAGAAACCGGTTGTCATCCCTTAGAGTAGGTAAACTTGAACTTTTTATTCATCACCACAATATTGCATTTAAAGGAAAGAAAGATGAGAAAGTGAGAGTGGTGAAGGCACATATTGGCAGTAAGATTTTGACTTCTATTGTGCAGGATAGTCACAACAGCATTCAGCCAGCCCCTGACTCAAATTCCGAGTCTGACAGTGACAGTGACAGGGTAGAGCGCATTGTTGAATTTAGTAGTACCTCTTCAGAACCAAATGACTTAGGAGATCAGGAAGCGGAAGCAGGAAGCTGAAGAAACGATACCTGAGTCTAATGGGTCTCGATACGGACGGAAAAGGACACGAGTCCTCCGAGAAAACTATGCGCCATGGCACAATATACATGAAGGAATGTAACCAAGTACCTATAATAGAATACCAAATTAAATCAAAGTGGGTGAAAAGAAAAACTTAATCTGTGAGAAAATGGAAAGAAACGTCACAAAAATCCTCTCTAAAGAACGCTGGAGAAGGTGTGTGACCCTCCCCTTATCATCGGAGTGCCCAGTTAGTTTCGCGAAACTTAAGTAGGTTCCAATATCACTGAACTGCCATTGAAATAGCCTGCAGTGCAGGTGTCTTACTAGGCCGAGCTAACGTTATAAGCCAGCGATCGTTCATCCGACCCGCCATGTTTGATTTAGAGTTAGAGTGGACGGTGGGGGTAGGGGGCGGGGAAAGGACGAAAAGACGCCTGCCCGAGGAGGCTGTTGAAAAGCAAAACACCCCCTAATAAGCTGTGCATCACTGCATTTACGGAAATGAGCAGATAACCAATCGAAATGAGTTAAATTAAAAACCGGTAGGACTGTCTTCCTACAAAAAAAAAACACATAGAGTCGATGAGTGAAATAATAAGGTCGTTTTTTTTTTTTCACCCAGGAACAAAACTGCTTCGAAGAAACCTCCCTGCGGTCCCAAATATGAGCTGATGTTTCCTGCACTCTAAATTTTCCAAATAATAATCCTTGAGTATGGCTGCTGTTAATCTATTTGACTGTTTTTCTTCCAACTGATCGTAAACGATACTTTGAAGCACAAACAACAGCATTCGAAGTTTTACGCGCCATAATTTGTTTGATGCAAACCGGCATACTCTGGTGAGACGGTCTGGGTTTTTTGTTTTTATATTTGTTTTTGTTTTTGTTTTCATCAACGAAAGAAATGGCTTCACCAAAACGTTCTCTGCTGACGCAAATACGAGTTGATATTTGCCGGACTCTATGTCCTCCAAAATTATGGCCAATCCGTGAGCGTAGCTACCGCTAACCCGATCGAAGATGTCTATTCCATTTGATCATAAATAATACGTTGGAGCGGAAAAGCGACAAGTACGTTCGAAGGTTTCCCCGTCATAATTTCTTTCATTCGAACCAACACCTGAAGCATCAGGCTTTTCCCAAAGTCATTTGGCAACACGGCCAGTAGATCCTTTCCAGAACCAGTGTAGCAATTGTTTCTTTTTCTTCCGATTTTGATGCACGAGAAATGTTAAATTCCGAAAGACACTTGCTTCCTTCAAAGCGGAATTGAAACCAACAACTTCATCATTTACAGAGTTTGCCATCCTTCGCATTTTCCCGCTACAGCAAAATGTCCAAATAACACATTTGGCTCTTAATTGACAGCTAGAGCTTAACCGCGGCCATAATATTAATAATAATAATATTAAAAATTTATAGTGCGCAAATTCCATAAAATGTTCAAATGCGCATTACAAGATTAAAAATTATCATTAAAATAGACTTACAATAATTTTAAGAAACGAGATAAAAAAAAAAAAAAAAAAAAAAAAATAAAAAAATAAAAAAAAAAAAAAAAAAAAGCTATAAAAATGCACTACGAAAAAGGTGAGTCTTCAGTTTAGCTTTAAAAATATTTACTGTTCTTGCGCTCCTAATATCCAGCGGTAGTTCGTTCCATAGTTTCGGAGCAGCACAGGTAAAAGAACGGTCCCCCAGTGTAGCTTTCGATTTAAATGATGGATGGCTAAGTAAAAGCTTATCACTGGAATTTCTTAAATTATATTTGGAGGGGGGTCTAAGGGAAATAAGAGAGGATAGATAAGAAGGGGCTAAAAAATTAAGAATCTTAAAAGTAATTAACAATATTTTAAACTCAATTCTATATCTAATTGGTAACCAGTGTAACTTAAAAATTAAGGGCGTAATATGACAAAATCTCTGTTCTTTAAGAATCAATCTGGCACAAGCATTCTGTACTCGTTGCAGCTTATTCAACAAGCAGTCCGGTAGTCCATATAATAGGCCATTGCAATAGTCCAGGCGGCTCGTTATAAATGCATGGACAAGAGTTTCCGTTGACTGCTGTGAAAGGTACTTTCTGATCCGACGAATATTATAAATGTAGTAAAATGAAGAGGCACAAATTTTCGTGATGTGTGTTGCCATGGAGAGCCTTGAATCAAACCAGGAACCAAGATTTCTCGCAATTGGCACGGGATGTATGTCTGAGTCGCCCACACGTATACTGATATTGTCGAGCTTTCCCAGCTGTTGTGATGTGCCAATGATAAGGAATTCAGTCTTGTCGTCATTTAATTTAAGATCATTATTCAACATCCAAAGACGAATGTCTCTGATGCAGTCCTCCATACTCCTCACTACAGCAAGTTGCTCAGCTCTGTCGTTGGGACTGAATGAGATGTAAACTTGAGAGTCGTCAGCGTAACAATGAATCGTGGGCAAATGATATTCAATGATCTCAAAAAGCTTGCTCGTATACAACGAAAACAATAACGGACCCAGACAGGAACCTTGAGGCACACCGCATTCTAATTTAAAAGGTTCCGACAGCGAATCGTTAATCATTATCCGTTGAGTTCTACCAGACAAATAGGACGTAAACCAGGAGAGGGCTTTCCCATGTATACCAAATGATGACTCAAGTCGACGTAGCATGGTGTCGTGATCAACTGTGTCGAAGGCAGCACTTAAATCGAGCAGAATAAGCAGAGTAACACGTTGACTGTTCATGTTAAGGAGAATATCATTCATAACCTTAAGGAGTGCAGTTTCTGTGCTGTGGTTCTGTCGATAGGCGGATTGAAACACTGGGAACAGATTGTTGCCATTCAGATAATGCTGTAGCTGCTTGGCAACAACAGTCTCAACCAGCTTTGAGATAAATGCCAAATTACTCACGGGTCTGTAGTTCTTAAAAACAAGAGGTAATCCATCCTTCTTCAACAGCGGCCGTACTAGAGCACTTTTCCAGGTGCGTGGAAAATAACCAGAATCAAGCGAAAGATTTATTATTTTCGTGATCGGAGGTAGTAGCACATCGGCGAAGTCAGTAAGAAGTTTGGTTGGAATAGGATCAAGAAGACAAGATTTCTTTGATGAAGCTTTGATTAAATCAAAAACCTCTGATTCGGACAGGAGAGTAAATTCTGAAAAACAGGAAGCAGTCACAGTACTGGCAGCGTCGATGGTGACAGGAAGGCGGCTCTGGTTTGCAATAACAGACTTGATATCAGCAATTTTTTGAGCAAAGAATTTTCCAAAATCATTAGCCAACTGATAATCATTAGTCGACAGTGGGAGGCCAGGACCATTTGATAAATTCAGCAGGGACTTACTTGCTCTAAATAACCTTCTCTGGTCCGTGCTGTTCTCAGTTATGAAGTTTGTATAGTATGCACAACGAGCCTCGTTACTCAAAAACGTCACTCGATTTCTCATTGCGCGATAGGATAGTAAATCGATGTGTGCTTTAGAAGCCCTCCATTTCCTTTCAGCTTTCCTCCGTTGACGTTTAGCCAATATAATTTCATCATTCATCCATGGAACACGAGATCTAATAGTAACATTCTTTTGCTTAACAGGAGCGTGCCGATCCAGCAGGGAACGCAATGTATTGTTGAATAAGGCGGCCAGCTCGTCAGGATCTTCAGTATCCGTTTGAAGAAGCTCGCTGTTACAGATTTCATCCGCAAAAGCAGACTTATCAATTGATCGCAACTTCCTAAATGAGACACGCCCAACTTTGAGAGGTGGTCGAGGTGTTTTCAATTTGAAAAGTAACGCTAGATGATCCGAAAATAGAATGTCAGGCGCTGGTCGACCGCTAATAAGGTTGTCTGACTTTCGAGTAATTACCAGATCTAGTGTATGACCAAGTTCATGCGTTGGTTCTGTCACATGTTGAGTTAAAGACATTGACTCCAATAAATCCAAAAAGCGACAAGCAGCTGAATCATTGTGATCATCAACATGGATGTTAAAATCGCCAGTTAAACACAGGACATCGTTAGATAGGATAACAGATTCAAGGTACTCAGAAAATTCGTCAATAAAACTGTTCACAGTCACAGGATGATTAACAGAGTACGGCGGTCGATAGATGATTGCCAATCGAAAGCGTAGGGAGCCAGTGCAGACAAGGTATTCAGAAGATTCAAAGGAAATCCTTGAAACAGTTTCGAGCTTGGAAACATTGATGTTATCTCTGAACAAGAGGGCCGTACCTCCACCTCTACGATCACCCCTAGGGCAGTGTAACAGTTTATAGCCAGCAGGAGTTATCTCGTAGCACACAGCGGAGTCGTTGTCTGATAACCAAGTTTCCGTTATTGCAACTAGGTCGGCTTTGCATTCGCTGACATAATCAACAAACAGTGCAGATTTGTTTGAAATAGAGCGAGCATTTAACGTGCACATGGTCAGCTGAGTGTTCGATGTACTCAAATGGAGATCAGATACGCGGTTTACCTGCACAACGTTGGAGCGGTGGCTATGATGATGGCTTCGATGTTTAACTGCTCGACGATTTGTTGTAAAAGACGTAATTAGTGGACCAGGGTTCGGGCTGATGTCGCCACTCGTTGTTAAGCGAAGACGCGTTAGGTTAAAGGAGGAAACGGAGTTCGGAGTATGAGATATCCGAGCAGTGAAGTAGCGATGCGATCTTGTTGAAGATGAAAATCCAAGATGGCGGAACAAACGCATCGACGACGAGCAACTTGCACGGTATAAATCCACTTCATTAGTGGTCTTTGTAACTCCAGAATCATCAAGGGCATAAGATGGACAGAAAATGAGCGTATTTAGATAAATTAAAGAGCGACTTAAACAACAGAACAGATATAGATAAGTGACTATGGCGGAGCCGAGAAAATTACGACTGACCGCCATTTCGCCGCTGACCACCATGACCACCACCTGACCAGGCCATCAGGAAATCCGTTAGTGGGCGAACAGAGTTTTGCAAAATAACAATGACTTCAGCAGGCGTAATCTTCACTCCCCCCACCCCTCTCCCTATCATTGACCGTCGACCACCCCCTTGGTGGATATTTCTTTTTCCTCCCAGCCTTCCGCTGCCATTAAAACCAAAGATGGTGGCTATAATTTTTGTTGAGAAAATAATGAGCGGTTGCTCGCCAAAATTTCGCCTGCTCTAAAGGTTACCGTCGAAGTCCCCAAGTTTGTCTGGAGAAGGTTAACTTGTTACTTTCTTTGCAAGCACAACAGCTATGAACAACAGCTAATGCCCAGTAATTTTCTCACCTTTTTCACAATTTGTTCCTATAAACCCAGGTTTGCATTTGCATTCGTAGCCGCCTTGTGTGTTTGTGCACTGTCCGCCATTTTGGCATGGATGTAAAGTTATACATTCGTTGATATCTAGCCAGAATGGAAAACATCAAAGTTAAAATTTCTAAGCACAAAGGTTGTCCCTGAGAGACAGGTTTAAGTAACTTTTGAGTTCGAGTTTTCATTCCTTACTGCTCTGATATGAAAAAAGTCAAGCCTCTTGAGTTGGCTTGAGTTGAGTTACTGAGTTGGTTCAGGGATGAGGGGGAGAGAGAGGGGACAAATCAAGCGCGAATACAACGAACAACTTTATAGCTATGGTGTGATGGTGTGTCTTTCTTATCTGTGACTTTTTTTTTTTTAAGTTTGAATTTTTTAGGCATTTACATAAATCATTGGATCGATTAATCAATCGATTTTTGAATGTCAATTATGGGCTGCCCTGTGTCTCCGTGTATCTTAATAGTTAAATGAAGATCCAGTTAGTTTGTAGCAATTTTCTTGAAGCTGAAACGTGCCTACGTTTCCTTTTTGGCGAGCAGTTTGGGGAATTCTAGTGGAGCGTTTCAGAAGTTCTTTCACTTTAACCACGCAGCGAGAAATATAGGCTTAAAACGGAGCAACCAGTTAGTTTAAATGCACTTTAAATAGAAAATTTGATAATAAGAATAAGAACGAAGTTTTCCAACAAAAAAGAAAAGGAAAAAGTTGGGTCAGGGAAGATCCGGTGATCCAGAATCGGAGACGAACTCTACTAACCTGCTGTAGAGTTATTTTGTCAATCTTAAGCTTTCATTTTTCAAAATCAACCTGTGGAATCTTTTGCTAAAGGTATCGCAGTATTGGAGGCATTTTATCCTCACACTTTCACTGATAACGCTTTTTTCTTTAAGCTTTAACTTACCATTTTCGCAATTTTTCCCCTGGAATCCTTCAACACAAGAACAGGTGTAGTTGTCACCAAGGCTGCTACATTCACCCCCATTCTGACAGGGCTTTTTGTATGCGCAAACATCAGCTACAAACACACAGACTTCTATCAGTAAAATGGCCTCCCTCATTACACCCGATAAAAGACCCTCTATTCGTTAGACTGTAAACTACGAAGCAATGTGCAAAAGATTTACATGAATTCTAAAAAAATAGCGGTACCGCGATAACTGGTTTATGAAGACGTTATCAATTGGCATAAATTAAAGTCTTAGAATAATTACCGCCATGACCAACGCCTATCACGGCCTTTATTTGCTCAGCGTTCAGGGCCACGTCATAAAGTTGTACGGCGGTGACTCGTCCCTGAAAGTACCGTCTATCCATGTTGATAGCACCAATTCGGACTTCATCTTCAGTGGCAAGTTCAATCTCTTTTCCAATATTCATCTTTACCACCGATTGTCCATTTAACCATACATTTGCCTCACCGGAAATGAAGTCATACGAGCAACCCACGTAATGCCACTGGTTAAAAGCCAAAGCCAAAGCATCGTAATACAGAAACTTTGAGCCTTGGTAGTTCCTTTGTGGGAAATAAGCATACAACTTTCCTTTCGACATCCACAAGAGAACACCCCAACGATGGGTACCGCCGTACTGGAAGAGAGGACCATCTGGAGTCTGAGGATACACCCAACATAAAATCGTAATGGAGTGCTTTACGTCTAATCCTCCATTATTCGGAAACTCAATGTAACTGCCGATATTTCCCGCGAATTGGTAGGAGCCGCCTTCCTTTCCATCGATTCCAGGTGCCAGAGACACATGGCTGAGGATGCCTGGGGACAGTCGATCTTTAATTTCTCTTGATAGATACTTGCTGTTTAGAGGATAGACGGCCACAGGATCTGGTGCAATGGAAGCTGCAAAGTAAAACAGAGTGACATGTAAACGACTTTTGTTCATTGAAGGATAAAACAGTTTCCAGATAGTATCTTTAAGTGTGTGTAATCTTGTCAAGCCAACCAAACCACAAATGTAAATAAAGTGTCCCCTTAACAACTACATGGTATGTTCCATGGCGCAGAAACCTCACAACATTTCTCTTGCGAACGCAAAATGTTTCAATATAAATATATCTCGACATTGGATGTGTGCGAGCTGAAACAAGAGAATGCGAACAATCAGTGTGGGATATTTTGCGTTTTATAGCTGAAGTTTGAAAATGAAAGTATAAACTATCAGACTTTGTAAGTCCTTTTCAGCGACGCCAACTCCACGACTCGATCCCGATTACAGCAAACTTCTCGACTTTCACTACTCATCAAGTACGAAAACACCTAAAAGCGGCCGCAAACCTTATGAGGTTACCCTTTTATTTCAAGAGGGTAAGCTCAGGGCAGGGGATAAAAAGGCAATCAAACAGTTTCCTGAAAAATACATTGTTTCGGAAAAGCTTGCATTCTTGCAGATTATATTGGGCATCTAACTGACATAAGATAAGCGGCGAACAAATAAAGACAGGAAGCGTGCAGAAAGAAAGCAACAGGAATACGATGATATTGACTTGGAAGATCTCTATCACAGAAACCGGTTGTCATCCCTTAGAATAGGTAAACTTGAACTTTATATTGATCACCACAATATTGCATTTAAAGGAAAGAAAGATGAGAAAGTGAGAGTGGTGAAGGCACATATTAGCAGTAAGATTTCTATTGTGCAGGATAGTCACAACAGCATTCAGCCAACCTCTGACTCAAATTGAGAACCAAATGACTTAGGAGATCAGGAAGGGGATAGTCAACGGGAGCAGGAAGCTGAAGAAACGATACCTGAGTATAATGGGTTTCGATACGAACGGAAAAGGACACGAATTCTCCGAGAAAACTATGTGCCATGGCACAATATACATGTAGGAATGTAACCAAGAACCTATAATAAAACACCAAATTAAATGAAAATAGGTGAAAAGAAAAACTTAATCCGTGAGAAAATGGAAAGAAACGTCATAAAAATCCTCTCTAAAAAACGCTGCAAAAGGTGTGTGACCCTCCCCTTGAATAGCTTACAAAGAGGTATTACCCTCCCCTTTCTCATTTTCACTGATGACGCTCTCCTCTGAGGGACTCAGAATTTTTTCTTTGTTCCACGCTCATTATAGGACGAAAAACATCTTTCTCATCATCATTATTGTTTTTAAATTTGGTCCAAAAGTTCACAAGACCTGCAGTCAACGGTAAATGTTTCGTCTATAGTGGATAACCCAGCTGTTTCGCAATTTTTTCCCGTAAATCCAGGTTTGCATGTGCATTAAAAGCTTCCCTATGTGTTCTCGCACTGTCCTCCATTTTGGCATGGGTTTGAGTTTCGGCATTCATCAATATCTGCCCCAAATAAAAAAACCTTTTAAGAGGGGAGTGCAGGGGGGAAAATTTTCTTCCTGTTCATGCGTATTTTTAGTCACATTTAATGACCGTTATCACGTACATTTGACTCTTGAATCCCTCAATACAAGAGAAAGGAAATCAATACCAGCAATATGAAACACTTTGAGTCTGCACGAAGATCTGGATGATCTGTATAGCATGCCCCCCTCAAAGTAGGTTTGCACGTGTCCTAACTTGATATCTTGTTTTCCAGGCCTGCATTTCTTTTTTCTGCCATACATCTACGAATATTTCACATTCTTTTGTTTTCTCTGCAGTTCTCGAACAGTAAAATTAGAACTTAAAATTATTTGACCTTTAGTTTAATTGCTCATAACTTGGGAGTTTACTGTTCAGTTCTTTGAAATTAAAAAGGAAAAAAGAATAGGCTCAGGTGATTACAGATCCTACCAAGAAAAAATTTATATTGGTATTACTGTTCTGTTGATCATCAGAACAAAAACATTAATTTATTTTTTTCTTTGCTTGTAACTAGTCACTCATGAAGAATCAGAGACACGCAGTCTGGTTTGAAGATCACATAATGACAGCAAGTCATTTTTCTTGTAGAAACTGCCATCTTTTCTCCTCGCTGATACGTACTGAAACTTCGCTTTACCTTAAGTTTTTTCAAAATGTGGGACTTTACCGCTCAGTTTGAGAGAACTTTTCAAAACAAACCTGGTTCTTGTTAATTTTATCAGCAGTTGCATATCTCTTTTTATAATCTATCAAATATTTCTCGCTTATGCGCGATTGGTCTTAATGCATCCAGTGAAAGAATATGCCTTAGCTAAACCTAAATATCTGATGATGTACCTCAAGTGATATTCCTCAATTTTCAAACCTCACATCAACTAGGATAAAAGTGTTCGTTTAAGATTTAATTCAGGATGAGAGCGCGTTTAGCTTTTGTTACCGGAACATTTTTGTTTGTTCATAAAGTGGTACCAGGCAACACTAAAAAGTCATCCCACGCGCAGCAAACACTACATTGTTCGTAATCATTTTAGCCACGGGCAGAAAAAGTATTGCAGGAGGATAATAAACTCAATAGCCTCCGTTTTGCGAGAACAAATGCTCGTATATGTATCCTGACGATGTACCTCAAGTGATATTCCTCAATTTTCAAACTTCACATCAACTAGGATAAAAGTGTTCGTTTAAGATTTAATTCAGGATGAGAGCGCGTTTATTTTTTGTTACCGGAGAAGGAACATTTTTGTTTGTTCATAAAGTGGTACCAGGCAACACTGAAAAGTCATCCCACGCGCAGCAAACACTACATTGTTCGTAAACATTTTAGCCACGGGTAGCAAAAGTATTGCAGGAGGATAATAAACTCAATAGCCTCCATTTGGCGAGAACAAATGCTCGTATATGTATCCTTGGATGTTGTTTGTTCCTCGAAGCTCACAGTTTTGCTTGAGCTTCGATCTCGTAAAAACTGTTCACTGGTACAGTTACTGGTACACTTACAGCCGAAAGGTAAAACAGTCTGAGTTTTGAATGGATTTGGTAATTGTATGATAAAGAGGTCTCATGGGAAGATGATCTGGTCTGAATGGGGCGAGAGACTTTCTCCGCTATTCTTGCAAAAAAGAAATCTTGAAGGATACTAACCGTTAGTAAGCGTGATCAAAATCTGTAGAGCACTGATTTGAAAGATCACCTTGAACCTCTCCATGTTGTGAAACTTCTGCTGTTGAAATAAGGAAACGATAATTGCAAACTAATTCTAAACATAACTCTGCTAATGCGTCTTGTATTCCTTTTTTAAGATAAGACAGAATTTCTGCAAAGTTCGAGCTTCAACGGCGCGCAATCAAGCCGCTCGACAGTGCATCAAACACATTGTCAACCTTACCTTTTCAAAGGCAGCACGTTCAACTCATGAAAAACATCGATGAAGTGGTAACGCCTAACTTTCCTTTGACGCTTTTACAGTATAGCAATCCATTTCAGCGCATGTGTTGATGGGTCATTAATCAAACTAAAGGCGAACGATACAGATTTTAATTCTATTTAATACTCCTCATTCGACTCAGAAAAATTTACATAACAATGTTCCCGTATTGGGCGTCAATCATCCCATCAAAGAGTGATTAGTACTTTTTGATCAAACCCTGAACATCGAGATCCAGATATTTTTTTATGTAAGCACCAATTAAAGATACCGCCAAACAGTAAGAAATACATTTAATGAGTTATTCTCTCAAAAACTAGCTTAAAGAAGGAAATATCACCAAGAGAACACGATAAACCGTGTAAAAAGGCAGAACCGTATGGAACTGTGAGACAAGACAGGTCACAAGGAAAATTGTTACTTGAACATTTCTTTCAAATAATTTATTTTAACTGAACTCCCCTTCACTTAAAGTTTGATTAAAGGACTCATTCCCTTATCAATATTGGGTTTTTAACAAGCTTCTTGACTTTTCTCATCACCAGCACTGACATTGAAAGAAGGAGAATATGTTTAAAAAATTGTGACGAAAACTGCTGCCGATTACTAATACGAAATGATCATGGTGACTCAGGTGGTTTAGTAATGCGTCTGTTTTCGCCACGATATGAAAGGATAATTATGGAACAGTAATTTCTATTGTAGTATAGGAGTTGGCTGTACGAGATCACAAAGTGATCGCGTACAAAAACTCCAACTCTCTATACTACTTTCCATATTATGGAAATTATTCAAC